ATCTAGATGAGGTGCCTATCATCAGGGCAGCAGAGGGACAATGTGCTATGGGAAGAAAAAGCACCTCAGTGTCTGCAGCCAGGGGCTTTACAAAGCATTACATTCCAGGAATGTCTGAACAAGAAGGATCTGGGGGGAGCCTGGGCAGGGACAGGGTGGGGATGGACAGCCTTTGACCTTCCTCCTCCTGCTAAACCCACCAACTTCTTCTTGTCTTTGCCACTTACTGGGATTTCAAATGCAAACTTTTCCCAGAAAAAGAGGGCCTGCCATGGTTATGACAAAGGTGCTTGGAAACCCTTCAGAAAGATCTAGTTCTCTCCTTGTCCCAGAGAAGCTGAGACTCCAAGGTTGGGTTTGCTCATGTCCTGGTCACCTTTCTTTTAGAGCCCTCATCGATACTGCTGGGGTAAAGGGAGAAGAGAAGGTCTCCCCAGGAAAGAAAGGAACAGAAAGTATCCTCGAGAGATCCCTGCAGTGTCCCACAACACCTCCAATTTCATGTTCCATAGAGAGCCTTCACCCCAAATACAGCAAAGAGCAGGTCACTGTCCCAACGGGACACCAGAGGCATTCACAGCTGTCCCCTGCTCTCTCCTCCCCAATGTCTCCAGCCTTCACTGCTTCTACCTCACACATGCCCCTGCCTCAGCGCAGGTCTCTTCTTTTCCCTCTTGATAATCCTTCTAGTACTTTCTTCGTGTGCTCTCCACCTCTGGGAAAAGCAATCCTGAAAACCGAAGTCCTTAGCAGACAACTCCTCGGAGCCCTGGCCCACTCCTGAGAGTGTCTTACCTGTATGGTATCTGCAAGCTCTGGGCATACATGTTTTCAAACTTCTGCTCCTGAGTCAACGAGACGACAGTGCGGAAGTTCTCTATCGCTTCAGTGGCAATCTGTAACACAACAGGCAGTTAACTTGAACTCTATATACCACATTAATAAAAGTAATTTGTTATAATGTGTTTAGCATTTACTATTATCTACAAGCGTCTCTACTGAAAAGGATATTAAATAATTTCCCAAACTGGACTTCAGATCTGTATGGGAGATCCCCATAGATGATGAAGCTGACAGGTGACCTAAAGCCACCCTCTTTACTTGGCTTTAGAAAGGTATTTGAGAACTCAGTGTGTCCCTTACAGTGATCTTGCTTCTACAATGGACTTATTTTAACCTTACAATTGCTTTAGTTTATTTATTCATTTATTTGAGACAGGGTCTTGCAAAATATGCAAGACTGGCCTAACACTGAAGAACTTCCCCCTTCGGTCTGGGTGCTGTTAATACTGCCATGCACCGCGATACCTGTTTTTAAAATGTGATATTTATCTCTTTATAAGTTCCGTTGTTTTAAAACATATCTGGAATATGTTACAAAATAAAAAGTTACACATCAGCATTCTACACAGTCACTCAAACATTGCTTTCTCCCCAAGTGTGTGTATATATAGATATAGATATAGATATAGATAGATAGATAGATAGATAGATAGATAGATAGATAGATATAGATATACATATATCTTTAATAGTAAAATAGATTCTGAATTCTAGACTGCTTTTGATAAAGAACATTCTCCAAGGTTATTAAATACATGTAGTGTGGTACTATAGACAACCTTAACAATGCAGCATGTTTTCAGCCCAGCAGTATTTTCAGTTCTTATTTACAGAAATATCTTTGAATGTGAGCATTTGTCGGTATTAAATAATTTCCTTAGGAAAAGTTTTTGAAATTAAAAACACTAGGTCAAAGAGAGTAAAAGCTGTCCATCGTTAACAAATATTAATTGTACAAATTAACAGGATTCACTGAAAGTTCCATATATCCACACATCAAGTCCATCTACTCTTCCACCCTCTCCTCACCTCTTCCAAGTCCCATGTACTTCTCGCTCATCTTTTTAACATATTCTGCACATGAAACAAAACATATACTTGTTTTGTCTCATGTAACATGACCTACTCCGATTCTGCTTCCCTGCAAACAACAGACCACCCAACAATACACATATGCCACATTTGAACCATTCATCTTTCTGGTTTGGGGCTGTAGAAAATGAATTTGCCAGATGCTTTGAGTGCTATGAACTCGTCATTTCCCGGTTCCTTTGCTGTCTCCAGCCTCCCTCGTCACTTGTCAGTGCAGAGCAGGAATCAGGGATGCTCTTAGGGGCTTGATTGTTGTAGCTGTGAGGAACGGGATTTCTCATTGGTCTTAGTGAGGTGTGGGTTGGTGTGTAGAACAGCTGCTGATATGTGTGTGTTATCTTGTATCTTCTCTATAGATATATACACACACGGATATATCATGTATATGCTTCTCTACAGATACACACACACACACACACACACACACACACACACACACACACACATATATATATATATATCATGTACACGCTTCTCTAGTGAACTCATCAGTTTTGGTAGTTTCTCAGCAAAGTCTTTTTGTGTTTAAAATATCTGGAAAGCAGGATTTCACTTCTTTCTTATTTTTATAATTTCTCTCACATGATCTCTATAGCTAAAATTGAACAGTAGAGTGATTAGATATCCTTGTCTTACTCCTGACTTGGTAAGAAGTGTTTCCCATTTTTTCTCCATATACTAGCTATATGTTTGTCATGTAACCACCTTTAGTATGTTGAGATATGATCCTTCTATACTAATTAAGGCCTTTCATCAAGAAGGGGTGTGGAATTTTCTCAAATGCGATTCTAGATCTCCTCAGAGGACTATGTTTACTCATGTACCTCATTTCTGAATTGTGCACACTGAGCTATCCTTGCATCCTAGGAGTAATTCCAACTCTATCTTGGTGTCCATTTCCTGTTTTGATTTCTGGAGACAGCATCTCACTGTGTAGCCTAGAGTATCATTAACTCATTAGCCCATATTGGCAACTAGCATTCTTCCTGCCTGTCCTGTGAATGTCAAGGCCACTAGCATTCTCCATGCCTGTCAGTACAAGCTTTTAACCAGTTTTCATGTTCACTTTGCACACCTTGAAGGTTTTTGCATCTGTTTGACCAGAGATACTCTTGTATAGTTTTCTGGGTCTTTGTTGTTTGTTTTGTTTTTCTTTTCTGTCCTTCTCAGGCTTTAGTAGCTGGGTCATGTTGGCTTCCTAGAATGAAGATGGAGAGGTTTCTTCCCTTTCTCATCTGTAGTCTGCACTTCTTCGATGGGAAACTTACTATCATTCAATCTCATGTTTTTATTGTATTCTTAAATTCCTTAGATTCAATTTTGGTAGGTCATATTTGTTCAGGAATTATTCTATTCCCTCTAAATTTGCTACATTATGAACATTTTCCCCCTAGACATGTTCCCTAATGGGGCTGGAGAGATGGCTCAGCAGTTAAGTGCACTTGTTCTCTTTCAGAGGACCCAGGTTCAATTCCCCAAACCACATCAGGTGGCCCACAACCACCTGTATCTCCAGTTCTGGAGGCATCTGACACCTCTGGCGTCTGTGGACACCTGCATTCCATGTGCATGTACCCACACAAAACAGATATATAATTTAAAGTAGTAAAAAATCTTAAAAAATTAAAAATTCCCTAATGATCCTGAGTTTCCCATAGCATTAAGCATATGCTTTCCGTTTTTAAGTTCTGCTCATTTGGATCTTCTCTTTTGGCTAACTGAGTGCTCAGCAATTTGATCTTAAAAAAACAAAAACAAAAACAAAAACAAAAACAAAAAACTAAACTGGACGGTGATGGTGCATGCCTTTAATCCCAGCATTTGGGAGGCAGAGGCAGATGGATCTCTGTGAGTTCAAGGCTAGCTTGGTCTACAGAGCAAGTTCCAGGACAGGCTCCAAAGCTACACAAAGAAATCCTGTCTCGAAAAACAAAACAAAACAAACAAAAAAACCTTAGTTCTTTGTTTAATTAGCTCTTTAAAGATTTATATTTATGTATGTGTGTATGAATGTCATGTGTGTGAAGGTCTCCATTAAGGCCAGAAGATATTGGATCCCTGGAGCTTGGAACCCATCTTGGTCCTTTGGAAAGGCAGTGAGTGCTCTCACCCACGGAGCCATCTTTCCTCACTGGTCCCTGATGGTGCTCTTTTATGCTCGATTTCAATCGCTTATGTCCTGACCAGCCTTCTGTTTTTGGTTTGGTTCATTCTCACCTTTCTACAAGACTTGGATGCATCACCAGGGTGAGATCTCTTTATGGGTAGGCGTTCACTGCCGTAAACATCCTTCCTAGCACTGCCTTTCAGTTTCTCCTACTGTGCTCAGAGAAAACCACCTTGTTAATTCTTTTCAGTCTAGGTAATGTGCTGGAGAGTGGGATCGTCAGTTTACACACTACTACTGCCTTGGAACCCAGACAGCCTTCAGGTCCAGCACTGAGGTCAGATGCTCTGGCACTTGGTGCATAGAAACTTATCTTCTGATGAATTATCCCCTTAATAAACAGCAATCCCCTTTATGTATTCCGGTGTTTCCTTAAACTCTGTTTTGTTGGCTCAGTGTGGCTAAACCTTCTTGGTTTTGGATTCCATTTGTTTGGATCATTGCTCTCTAGCCTTTCACTTGCAGATGCTGTATTTTATAGGTGAGCTTTCTTATATATTGTTGCATCTTGCTTCTAAATCTATTCATCCAGTCTGTGTCTTTTAATTGTAGAATTAAGACCATTTACACTTAGAGTTACCATTGGGAAACATACTAGATTCTCTAATTTTCTTCTTGTTTATATCTTAGTTTCCTCTTATTCATCTTTAAAGTCTGATGGCTTACTGTGTTACTGTTTGATTCCTTGCTATTTTTCTTTCATTAACATACCTTTTAGTTGTATTTGAAAACACATTATTTTTTTTAGGAACATAGCAGATATACTCTCCCCAAATTTTTGCCATCCAATTGCAATGTGATAACATATTACCACTAATGAGGATATTTGTTTAGTACATACATTCTTTGCCACATTTTGGAATGTGGGTAAAGGGATGTAGAAAATGCAAAGAACAGAAACATCCCCATGAGATTTCAGTCTGTCAGCCATGAGACAAACTACCTGTCTCATGCTTCTCATCTGTAAAATGAAGGGGATGGGTAGAAGGTCTCTACCATCTCTTCAAATCTAAAACTATAGATCACCAAGAGAAGTTCCTCCTATTGGTTCAGATATTCTTCTCTCAGGCTCTTTCACAGGTCAGAACTGATTTTAATGATACATCTCATTATGTTGTTATGTATAGAAGAATACCCCAAAATGTGAAACCCCCTTATTTTTCACTGAATCCTATACAAAATTTGGAAAGGAAATTGAAAAAAAATCATTTTTGTGTATCAGTATCAGTGTGTTTTGTCTGTCTGTATGTTTGTGCACCACTTGCATGCTATACCCATGGAAACCAAAAGAGAGCATCAGATGCCCTGGAACTGGAGTTACAGATGATTGTGAGCTGCTGGGAGTGCTGGGAAGTAAACCCAGTCCTCTAGAAGAAGCTCATTCATAGAGAGGACACTCAGCCGGTAACTCCAGCATGGCTGCTTCCTCCCTAGTCGATTTCTGCTCAATACTCTGAAGTCCTGACTTGCGGCTACCTTTGTTTGCTCTCTCAACCAGTCTACTTTAGTCATTTCTGCTGTATGCTTTGAGTACTTTATTTGATGATGCATTGCTAACTATCTGTTGCTTCTATCTATCTGCTATTTGCTATTATTCCTTTACTTTAGTTTGTTAGCTATATGCTTTATAAATTGATTTAAATCTAAAGGTATGGCTATTACAGATCATTTTCTGGATGTTCAATACACACACACACACACACACACACACACACACACACACACACACTTTCTCTCTCTTTCTACTTTTAGTATCAGCACTGGAGAAAGGGAGACAAGAGGATCCTTGGAACTTGCTGAGTCAGCCTAGTCTAACCAGTGGTTTCTAGGTCCCAGTGAGGGACTCTGACTCAAAGACAAGGTGGATGGCTTCTGAGAAATGACCCCTGAGGCTGACCTCTGACCTCCCCACACATACGCAAAAGCACCCATACTCACGTACAACTGCATACTCACACACCAAACATATATGCATTTTAGAAAATCCTGAAAGTAAGGAAAAGAAAATGTTAGAGAAAAAAATTTATCCAGACAATCTTTGTTCAGATACATTAAAATATTTTTAATTATAGGGGTTCAAATAAATAGGAGAGCTCTTCTGGGTTAGTAAGACAACTGAACAAACCACAGCAGTGAGTGATGGAAAACAAGTTCCATGGTCAACTTCAGTGATGTCTGAAAGACTTCCTGTGTGTTCTCAGTGTTCTCATGAGTCTGTAAATATCCCAGTTCTCAGTGTGTGACTGATAAAAGTGAGAGTTTGAGGCACAGATTTTTGTGGTCAGTAAAATGACATACTATCCCACAGAATTATCTCTTCACTTAGAGGCACAATGAAGCAATTGGGGGGAAAAAAAAACCTTAACTAGAAACTTCTACCCTTATAGCTTCAATCTCCACAAGTTTTAAAGACTAAGTAATTCCCCAAACGAAGAACTTTTAGTTGGAAGGGTAAAAAATGGTACTGTTTCTTTCTGAAAGAATCATTTAATAAATAGCTTTGGAGAAAGAAAAAAATGCATGATTTTGAAAAAAGTAAATAAACTTCTTTACCCTCCCTCTCCTGCCTTCAAAAACTCATGTTTGATTATGGCTTTCAAGACTGGAAAAGAAAAACTGCAGCTGTTTTCAGTAAGAGCTCAGTGTGTTCATAAGAACATGACTGAACACTGCCAAGCACACGCCTTAGACGTCAAGGCTATGAGTGCATTCTGACATCACGGACTGAAGATGGTAAGCAGGCCCTTACTTCACAGACACCATGACTGGCCTCTGATATCAAACACATCTGTGTTTGTGACACCATACTGTCAGGACATAGGAAGGCCCTGACATTACATTGTTGGATATGAGCAGCCCTTGACATCACACACTTGTCATGTGTATTCGGTGAAATTACACAGAACTGCTTAAAAATGTCAAGCTTACCTCATTCCTTTAGAGGCAAATCATCAGACATAGGCTTGTCCTTCATGGCACTTAAGTTTTAGCAAGGAAGACACTGTTCATTAATAAAGAAATAGGACAGAAACATCAGAGGCTGAGAGGAGGCATGCAATCAGCGAGTGTGAGTGGCCTCTGGAAATATAATTCAGAAACCCGAATGATGTAAACAAGCCATCCGTGGTCCAAGGGACTCAGAGAGGAGTGTGACAAGAGCCGCACAAGGCCCATGGTGGCTGCAGCAGTGTGGACCATGAAGAATGCAGTGCAAGAGAAGAACAGCCATCCAGGACTAGGCCACGTCGGGCTTGCAGCTGGGATAAAAGCTTGGATCGTACGCAACTCCTTAGAGGCCACGGCAAGATTTGAAGAGCGGGTTAGCACGATCTGATACGTATCTAATAGATATGAGGATGGATTTTGTGTGAAGAATATAGAGTACAGGAGGATATGACTAGAGGGAGGAGATCAGTGAGACATCCATTACCCTGTGACTTTGGACAAGACCCAGGATCTCTCTAAACTTTGGGCTTTATCATCTCTCCAACAGGGACAGTTCTGCAGAGTTACTGACAGCAATAAGTAAGAGAATACACATACAGCTCACAAGATGATGGCGGCTATATGCCAGTTATTGAATAATAAATGGTAACCTGAGAATTATAACAATGAGGTTGCTTTTTAGTATTAAGTAGGATGGTTGGAATAGCCACCGCCATGGTCTCTATGTACTGTATTCCCTCTGAGGTGCTACCACTGAAGTAGAGCCTGACCATGACTCTGAAAGTCTGCCATAGACACACCCATCTCCATCTGCACCCCTTGCCTCACTCACGCCGAAGTAACTTCGCGAGCCTGGAACAGTCTCCTGGTTTTTAGACTTGGTCATCTTCCCACCATCACTCTACGGCATTGTAAGCACATCAGTACTATAAAATCGTAATGCTTTTCTTCAAATGAAAAGTCTTCACCACAAAAATCAAGAAGCTCAATAAACACTCTGTTAACTGAAGCTATTAACTCAGCAAGTAGTCTCCAACTGGGACTAAAGTTGTTTGAGCCAGACTTTACCCTGTGGGCGTTCACACTGCGAGGTCTGACCCCAGAAACAATGGCTGGAGGCCATAAGTATTTCTCTCAAGGGAACTCCAGGGAAGCAGGATGAAGAAACTAAGGGATGACCAACCTCTGGGGCCTTCCTCATCATTTGTGTCAGTGAGGTGCATGGCTAGGAGACAGAGTACCAAACACATGCCCACGGGGAACCTAAATCCACTCCCACCTGCCCTGGACCAGGCCCTAAGTCTTGGGAATTTGGAATGTCCATCAGTAGGTATAGTCCTAGTGGACACTGAGCTCATTTGGTGGTGGTGGTGGGGGGTCAGCCCTGTTCCGAACTCTCATCTCCACAGACAGCGTGTGATATCTGACTATGCTCCACCATAGCAGCATGTGGATCCCCAGCTCGCTGGAGTACCACTGCCTGAGTTTGATTCCTGGCTCCAAGAGCAACCAGCTCTAATAGACAAAGAACACAGCCTGTGTGTCCATCATCCTCACCTTAAAAAGTGAGATCTTTAACACGACATACCTACTACGGTAAATAAAACATTTCCCAGGAAACCCAGTAAGCCCCACCAAAGCATTTGTCAAGCTGTGAAAAAAGAAACAGGTAAAGGTGCAGGACAAACAGGGTCAAGGGAAGAACAGACGTGGGAGGAAAGAGGAGGCATGAAAAGAGGAACGTGCTAGTCTGAATCGGAGAGAATGAACACTCTCAGGACTTTCCTCCCCAATCATGCGTAACAGAACCCTCCTACATCCCCGAAAACAGAGAAGGTGGGGAGAGAAGAAAAGAACCGAAGGGAGGAGAGGGCTGGATGGGAACACAGGAGAACGTGGAGGCAGCAGCCTGAAATCAGGAAAGCCTTGACAAGCAGCTGCCAGTCTTCGAGCTGAGAGAGGCGTTGCCCACTTTTCTTCTACTACGAATCTGCAGGAAACCAAAGTTTTCTGGAAGAATGGTTAGAACCACATCCCCAGAGCACAGCTGGCAGCAGGGAATCGGCGAACATCACCACCAAGAAGTGTTTTTCTGCTAGGTAAGCATTGTGCTGAGTTTGACTCACCTTCCCAGAAACCTCTAGTTCTTTCTTGTCCTTCAGAGCATGACCAGACAACATTTTCAGTTCGATAATGCCACCCAATATGATGAGTGGTATAATCACTGTGAGTAAAAGTGTTAGCTGCCAGCCATAGATTAAGGATATGATAATTCCTGTCCCGAGATTTGCTACATTCTGGGTAATTCCAGCAAGCCTGGAACCCACAGCCTGAAAAACACAACAATTAGAGACACATTTTTATATTAACTGTAAAATACATGTACTCTTATGAATTAGGACAATTTGCTTTCATGCAAATACATGAAATTTTGTCTTGTCGGTTACTAAAGTTCTGCTTTGTTTGTGTTCATTGTGTTTCTAAAATGAGGATTTCCCCGACTTCTACATAAATATGAAAGAGATCAATAATCCAGAACTCAGATGTTCTCTCTATTCTGATTCCTTTTTCTCTTTTTGTTGTGTTTGTATCGAGGTATGTGGGCACATGTGTGTTTGTGGAGTACATGTACATGAGTGTGTTGGTGTACTCACCCATGTGGAGGCTAGAGCAGGATGCAGGGTGGCTTCCTCTATCGTTCTCTGACTTACTGCCTTGAAACAGGCTTTAACCATAGCTTGCTCCCGAGCTCCTGGGGTCCACCTGTCTCTGTCCCCCAACGCTGAGGTTACAGGCACATGCAGCCATGCCTGGCTTTTTTTACATTGAGTGTTTTGGATTCAAACTCAGGTCTTTGTGCTTGCAGAGAAAGTCTTACCTACTGAACCCTCTCGCCAGCCCCGGCTGATTCTTCAATACCAAGACATCTTTATGTATCAAAGCACAATCACTAAAGCAAGCTATGTAAAGGAGACTGGCCTGGCAATGGTGGGAGTTTCAACATTTGGCACCCAACTGCTTATAAATCAAGACTAACATTTTTCATTAAGGGTATTAAATCATACCTGGGCTCATTTGAAACACTTATTAGGTGTCATTTACTTGGACTTGGAAAAAAAATACAGAGCAAAAAATTACAAAAAATTTGTGCGCGCATGCGTGTGCGTGAGTGCGCATCTGCGCACGCACGTGTGTGTGTGTGTGTGTGTGTGTGTGTGTGTGTTGCAGTCAACTAAACTTCTACTGAGGAGACCCTTTGCTATGTTGTGCACAAGTCAAAAAGCAGTGAGCTTTAAAGGGCTCTTCCCACACATTTCTCATGTGAAGGTCAAGAGAAGCGACCTGGAGACTCTGCAGGATGGGGATGCACTCGGATGCTCCTGGTCTTAGCGCCTATAATCCTACCCAGAACTCATTCCCCACAGCAGCTGCTGATGGACAGAAACACTCAGAGCATCTCCCATGGGCACAGTAGAAGCATTTCCCTGGCCATAACCTTTAAGACATAGGCAGATCCTGCTTTGGTAGGTCTTAGGGCCAAAGAATCAAGATAAATCACAAGATGACAAATCTTGCTATCTGAAGAAGGTGTGAGAATCAGAGCCTTAGCACTAGCCAATCTTATTAGGATATTCCTCCTAGAAGAACTGGGAAGAATATTCCTACAAAAACCACACTTTCCCTTCCATCACACTCCT